ATACCAGTAACACCAAGAGAAGTGTATTAAAAACGTAAATATATTAAAATAAAATATTCTATTTAGATAATAAATTATTTCAGCAATAAATTAAAATGCATATGACCCCAATTTAGATGTAGTAATTCTTAAAAATGTCTTCTTATATCGTTGTGATATTTTAATAATAGGTGTCCTGTCTCCATACATTTTTCTATCATATATACACTGTGTTTTCTACTTGTCTTTAAAGCACAATACATTTAGCTATCAGCAGGGTGCTTTTCCTAGTAGGTTTTTAAGCAGAATATAATTAATTGGTCTACATTTACAAAAGCTGTTTTAAAATGTCAGAATATATATGACCGGAAATAATAATATAGTTTAATTATTCCAGTGTTGTACCAGTATTTCTAAAGCTACTTAAAGGCAGTCAAAGAAGAAAAAACAACTTTTGACCAAACTCAATTGGAAATGGAAATACCAACCTTTTTGAATGTCCCTTTCAAGTCATACCTGCATGTGGTTTGGAAGAAACAAATGTGACGTTCTGACCATCAACAAGGTCAAGTTGTAAGAGGTCAGGGTTTAACACCAAAGGAAATAATTGATCTGTTACCTCCTGAGAGAAGCTAAAAATATCTTGTCATTTTAAAACGTGGCTGTAACAGGGAGTCACTGCCTCCTGTTACTTTAGGAAGAAAGTGCAGTGGGCTAACCTCATTGTATAGGCAGGCAGCTGACACAAAGCCAGCTGCACTGTAACAAGCTGATGGTGTAGAGCAGTTTTCCAGGTAGCCTGAGAGTAAAGGTTGCAAACAACTGGGTCAAGCTGCAGCAGGGAGATACAAACAGACCATTAGGCACAAGAGACCCCCCTGTGCTTAACTGGGGAGTCACCTGCCTGGGAGGGGTAGTGTTCCAGGGCACATAAGCCCAGCACCAAAAGCAAGGCAGGCAGTTTGGCCCTGTATGCTGCAGGGAGCAGAGCACTGGGGAGAGAAGGGCTAAAAGAGACAACCTAGCAAGAACCTAAGCCTCTCATGAGAAGTGAGGGCTCAAAGAGAGATGGGACTTGCAGGATAATGCAAACGCAGAGTACAGGGAGATTTTTTTGTTTGAAAGCAGTCACTTGTATGTTTTGCATTTAGGTTGATACTGGAGGGCCAAATGAAGGCCACAGGAGTGCCTGAGGGCCACCTGGTATAGAGCCCTTCCAGGGCCCAGCACCCAGTGGGCTGTATGGGGCTGAAGCCCAAACTGTTTAGAGTTTGGAGACAGCAGCTTTGCTTACTCAGGGACTCAGAGGACTGAGGCCGGTTAAAGAGGAAGCGGCTGGCAAAAGGTGTGAGCAGCTTTGCTTGGGCCGTGGGCCCCAAAGGGCTGGGACAAAACCCATGGCAGAGCCTGGAGCTAGGAGACTGAGACACAGAGAGGGCTGAGGCTAAGAAAGCTAGACCACTTGGGCCAGGGCTGGAAGTCTGCAGCCAGAACAATGGTGGGCTAAAGCCAAGAGGGCTGAGGTAAAGCACATTGAAAAAATAATATCTGCAAGGCATGGGAATGGCTCTATGGGAGGACAGAAGCCATGAATTTAACCCTTGGAGTTGCAAGACCAAGAGACTGTGAGCAGTAGGGTCTGGACCAAATTAGGAAGGCCATGTTGAGCCCAAGAAGTAAATTTTATTTTACTTTATATAGAAACATATCAGCCACTAAGGGCAGCCTTACTTCTAACTCCAACATCAAGGCGTGACAGGGGAGGAAAAAGGGTGAGACCCTGACCTGGCAGGCTTAAGATTGCTACTAGGGCACATCACAACCACGCCTAGAGCCCCATCAAAAATATTGATATTAATAACATAATATTAGAATGCAGGATGTTAGAATACAAGAAGTCTCCATCAGCTCCTGACATTCAAATTCAGTAAAGGCAACCTTTCACACTGATTAATAACTCTGCCATTTCCATTTCCTGCATTTATAAGGCTATTTTATATTCTACAATGTGATATAATGTCTAATTCTTCCAGAAGTCCATCATGATCACAAAACAACTCGCTATCCCTGGTACAATAGATGTATTAAAAGCATGTAATAAGATGTATATTGCTCTTATTGTAAGTCACCCTGTGCCTTTGTTGGGAAGGGCAGCATATAAATCAAACGAATGAATGTATTGTCAGTGGTTGTTCAATGCTGGTATAAAGTGAGTACAGATGAAGAGATAACCAAATTCTCAGCAGCCTTTACATGTACCTGTGTGGCCACTACAACCCCTGTCAGGGTTAGAAGTGGTAGGAGTGCAAACTAGCTTCAGTAATGTAAATGAGAACAAAGCAAAAGTCTTTGCAAGTGGATAGGCTTGTGTAAGTGAGAAAAACAGACAGCCTACTGATTCAGAAGATCTCAGGATCATACCCTCAAAACATTCTTATGCATGAAATGAATATCTAACAAAGAAGACATCTCCTAATTAAACAATCCTTTGGTCTCTCAGGATTTGGCTGATTTTAAAATTTGAGATGAAAGCCTGCTGACTCATAGACAGCCCATGAAACTATGATATGCCTCTGTTTGCTCTTCCATAGCCTAGCCAGAAACACAAAAGGAGATTTTTGACACTGAGTTGAGTAGAGTGATCAGGTCCAAAAGCAGTTCCTGAGATATTTCTGATCCCAGCTAAAATAAAGAAATATTGGAACTCTCTTTTGAGCTCCTTATTTTGAGACCAAAGGAGTTTATAAATGAATTGGACAAAAACTCTAAAGCTCCATCTTGCGATATTGCAGTTCAGTATACAAAAATATCTGGTGAATCTAGACACAACTTTTGAAACAAAAGTACCACCAGGGCCACCAAAGACTGAAAAGGCAATCAAGTTAGAATGTAGTGGAGTAAACCAGCTGAAAAGGCACAACCTTTTTATGAAACCTTAAAAGGGAACAAAAATGTCATGATGTATGATGCTTACCTGAATGTGACACATCCTTTACAGAGTATATGTAAAGGAATTCTTGCTGTCCTGTGCCTAAATTCATAAAAGCAGCTAAGCCAAGGTTTAAAGTAACGTTTGTGTTAAAATCCCATTGGCTTTAAAATGACTTAAGTGTGTACTCAATTATCTGTACTAGAACAACCATTATAAAGTTTTTTTTTTTGTTTTTTACTATGAGGGAGAATGGAGCACAAACCATACATTTTGACAGTTTGTTTGCCAAATGGTGTTTGTTTAACTCATAAAATGGCATATTAGCTACTTTATAACCCAACTTTTTCAGGAATTGTAATGTTGAGCACTCTATATACCTGCAACAAGAAATATCTTCCCCTCCTAAAGGCTAATACTCTAAGTGCATACATACTAAAACATAGGGAAACCAAATGTAATAGGACAGAAATAATAAAGGAAAAATGGGATCACATTGATAAGACTACATACTTATTCAGACTGTGTGACATTGAGGCATAATGAATTTGAATTGCCAGCAACATTTTCAAAGTATAAGGACACATTAACAGGGATGTTACGTTGTTTCATTGAAGCTTTGATTCATAATGGTTTCATGCTACTCCCCAGCAAAAAACGAAATGGTTTACATTATGTAAAGCTCTATGTTACCAACCTTCCTAAATTCCTCCACTGGCTACTCCTCTTCCAACACATTAAAGAGAGATATATAATTTTGTCCTTGTTTCTAACCGTCTTCACAAATTAACTCAGCCCTGCCTATCTATTCCAGTAGTTTCACTGAGAGTTAGTTCACACCTCTCCCTGATTCTATTTTTCTGGGAAGCATATTTATTTTTCCTTTCAAACTGATCCTTTTTATCAGGAAAAGTTCTCAGTCAAAAGCAATATATAACTATATTCATATAGCTAACTCCATCTCCTCTTTCAAGGCTCTTCTCAAAATTCAGCACTTCTGTACTGTTCACACAGTATTAAACAGTAGGCCTGAGCGAAACAGCTAGTATTCGCTTTGAATTTGGATTTGGCTGATTCAGGGGACAGTGATTTGATTCACTGCACCAAATCAATTCAGCTGAATGTGATTTAGAGATTCAGATGCCACTGAATTGGCCGAATCTCCGAATCAAACAGACTTCATCCCCCATCTGCTCTCTCAACCCCATTGATGGAAGCCCCACCTAGCCCCAGCCTCCCGGCTCTTTAAAAAAAAAAAAAGCCTTGCAATCACTGGCTGCTGCCAGGCGGGGGGGGGGGGGGG